TTATCGATCCCAAGAACATTCATTAGAAATTGATATCAATGTAAAGGGACAAGAGTAAATAACTTTAGCAATGTTTGAAAAGGGAATTAGTTTTAGATCGAACTTAATTAACCAACAAATGAATAATTCTAAGGACTTATCATTATTTTTAAAGTCTAATTGAAAAAACGAAAATTCTCTGTTATTTTCATCATAATTTGTTAATTGTTGATTAGATTTCAGAAAAGAAAGGTGTAAAAACATATTTTTCAATTTTATTCAAGTAAATTTTTCTAGTTCTTGGAATATCAATATCTTTATCTAAAAGCCAATTGATTTCATGTTCATGTTCATGTTGTTCTTCTAGCTGAGTTTTTTGTAAAATATCTTCACTTAAAATAGTTTCTTCTTTCAATAATTTAAGTTTTTCATCTTTAAAACAAGTTAATTTTTTTCTATTTTCTCGTAAATTAGTTTTTAATTTTGCTAAATCATTTTCTAATTTAGCTATTTCTTCTTGTTTATTTTTTAATTGACTTTGTTTGTCATTTTTATATTTATTTAAAAATTCTTTCATTTTATCATATTTCTTTCGATATTGATTATGTAATTTTGAATATGCTTGTAAATTACTTGATAAAATTGTTTGAGTTAATTGTTTTCCGTTTCTTTTATCTCGTAAATCTTGCTGTCGAGTCATCAAATCAAGTTCTTGTCCTATTTTTAATGACTCTTCTTGTGTTAATTTTAAATTTTCTTGTCTTAACTGAGTTAGCTCATTTTGATATTCCTTTATTTGAGCTTCTAATGTTTCTATATCTTGTCCCTTTACATTGATATCAATTTCTAATGAATGTTCTTGGGATCGATAAGTTTCTATTTTATTATCGATATCTTGTTTTTCTAATTTTAGTTTATTAACTATTTGTTCATAATGATTCTTTTCGACACTCTCTGACAATTCACTATGCATTTCTAATAGAGATTGATCTAAATTTGAAATATTAGTAAAATCTCTTTTAATTATTTCGGATTCTCTTTGAGTTTCTTGTCGAAATCGACTTCTTTCATTTTCTTTTGATTTTGAGTAAGTCCATGGGAAGTCGCCAGCTCGTACAGTCACCATGTCATAATCCTTTCAAACTTTTAGAGTTTGTAGAGAATTTTGCGCTGATCATTTTGATAAAAAAATATTTAGGTTTAAACCTCATTATCACAGAGATATGAATCAAATACAATTTTGAGACTTTCAAGATTTTGGTAAAAATAAAGGT